GAGCCCCCACTGAAGGCAAACCAAGATGTTGTTGAGATTTCACTGATGGGGAAAGGGTAGTGGGAGGGGGGCATTTTCTTTGTATGGCTTCTGAGAGCTAAAGCACATAGTCCCCTCATCCTTGGTACTGATGCCCCTTTCTCTTGAATAGAGGCCTGGAGCATCTAAGTTAGGATAGGTCTGGCAGCAAACCTGAAGACAAAAATGTTCTGCTTAGATGAAAGAGAAAAAGGAAAAAAAAATAGATTTTCTGGAAGCTGCCAAAACACAAACACACTTTGTTAATCTTCTACCCTAAATGCATTAGGATTTCAGATGTGCTTGTCTAAGAAGTGACTGGAATGGAAAGATGGATGGAAGGAAGGATATGAATATGGCCAATGCAAAAAAAAAAAAAGTGGTCCGAGGAACAGGATGACAGTGTAGATCGGTCATGAACTAGAGAACTGAGTTATTTTCCTCAGTACAATTTTGGTACAGTAGAGAGACCTAGTATTGATAGAAACTGGCTGGACCCCTGCCTTACCTTCAGTGAAACATTTATATTGTAGCCAAAGTTAGGGACTTGGGCTTATGTATGAAGACTGTATTCCCTGTCCCCAGAAAGGAATCTGGCTTGACATGGTTCCTTCTTCCTCTTCTTGGAGAGGAATGATTTGGGATCAGCTGCCTAGGCCCCTTCCAAACTTTACTCCCTACCTCTGGAACACAAACCCTGACACCCTGTCCTCTCCTGCTCCAAACCACACCTCACCCTTACCCTGTCCCCCCACCCCATTCAAATGTACATATCCACTGACCATTGTCCTGGAGACATGGAATATGTGCATTCTCTGTCTGGAGCCCAGAGGACACCGGCACTCCAGCCCCTGGTTTGAGTTTTCCTGCTCTCTTAAAGAAACTTATTTGCTCACAGCCTCATTTCTTTCAGGCTATGCTTAACTTCCAATGCAGCCTGTCTCATGAAAGTGGAAGCAGCCAGCCCCTTCTCTTCCCAGGTCATCCAAAGCCCTAGTCATCTTAGAGAAGGCCGGGGGTAGGGAGGGTGGGACCGATGGAGGGCCACTTAGAAGAAAGTCATCTCTTCCCTCAGCTGAAGAGTGAGCCATCAATAGGGATGGATGAGACAAGTCATTTGTCCACAGCTTTCAGGGGTGATCACCTATTTTAAAGCCGTACCCTGCAAATCAGGCCTAATGTAGCCAGTCTATGTTTACATATCTACAATGAGGGATTTACCGTTTAAGACAAGTGGGGTCAAGTGCAGATCTAAAATGTCGGTTGTGGATTCAAAGAACTGTGAGAGATGGGGTGTGATTCCCTTCAATAAAAGGTCAGTGAAGGGTAGAGCTTGGAGCCATGAGGTGGGTATGGCTCCCCCAGTCACTTACCTCCCAACTCATAAATCTGTTTCCCACTCCCCAGCTGCCAAAATAAGTAGCCCTGCTTGGAGAAGATGGGTAGATGGGGCACAGGTTAACAAGACCTGCTGACAACCCCCTCCCAGCTCCAGAGATTCTTCTCCATCCCCCTCCATCACCATCTTAACTCTCAGCTTACTGGTTAGCTCACTGACACCCTGCCGTCTAATTCCTGATCCCCAGAGAGTCAGGAAGACCAGAGGTATCATGGTGGAGGCAGGAAACATTCATTTGCAGTAGACATTCCCTCTTCATTTATCATGACTTTCAGCTTTTAAGTGCCTTCCACTTGGAGTCACAACCAGATTTCCCTCTTTTTACTTCATGTTTCTTTAACATTTGTTTGCTCTGACCAAATCTCCCTTTTCAATGTGGCCTGATGAGCAGGTGCACTCTAGCTGCCAATCTTCTGGCTTTTGGGAGGGAGAGAGGGGCAGTGAGCATCCTGGGTGATCTGGGTGGTTGAGGGCAAGGCAACAGGGCCTTGCCTGAGAGACAGGAGAGGAGACCCTGGAGGGGAGGCCATGCTGCCCTCTGAGAAGCATGTGCTCAGCATGTGTTTAGTGTGAGTTGGGCTGGAAGAAGGCATAAGGGAATGGGGTGGGGGTATTTCCACCCAAGTGTAAGACAGACAGGGTCAAAGATAAGAAAGAGGAGGGAACTGAGTTGTCTGGACTGGGAGTGTTGGGGAGGGATGTGATTATAGTTGTGGTCTTCTGGAGTTCTTACTAAAAGCTATCCCTCTCTCACATACACTCCCTAATCCAAAGGAGGCATTGGGAAGGATTTCAACCACATTTGTTCAAGGAGTGAATGGGATGGAAGGTGGGATGTTGGGAAAGGTGCTAATGTGACCAATTTGATAGGACTTTTCTCTGTCCTGGTATATACCCCCAAGATGCAAACCACTTCAGCTTCTTGCCCCCTCCTCCTCCCAAGCCATAAAGCAAACAGTGCTAGCCCCCCCCCCCCGACCCTACAACACAGTCCTACTCTATAAAGGGTGGCACACAGTAGGGTAGCCTAGCCATTAGCATGTGTTTCTTCCTCCTGGCATCCTCCTTGTATTGCCACAGCAAAGTCCCAGATACTGACATCTGGAGATACCTGGTGGATACCGTGCCTTTCTGTCCAGGAGCATATGGCACATGCAATTTTGTTTAGTTTGTTTCTAATTTAGATGAAGCCCATCAGCCCTGGGAGCCTGATTTCTATTTATTGTTCCCTAATTCCTACTGGCCCAGAGGGCCGATGGGGGCAGTGGAGGCTGCTTGGCAAGATTAGCTCCCCACCATCCCCCCCAATAGACTGACTGAAGAGGCTGGCCCAGCAAGAATTGGGGGGCGGCGGGAGTCATTGACCGATGCCCCATAGAGGCTGGGTCAAACTGGTACCTGGTGTACTGCCTTGTTTTAATCTCTTACAAACCGTTAAGTTGTGCTCTTTGCCCTTCTCCCCCGGTCTTCCTTTTCTGGGGGGTAAATTTTCCCCACTGTCTAATTTTACATCAGATTCAGAATTCATGTTTGATGTAATGTAGCCCCACCCTCTCCCCTCCCACCCAGCACCCCTGAACCTCCCCATCCCCAACACAGAACCCAGACCCTGACCCACCCTTGGCCTCCACCTCTAGATCTCACACGAGAGGAAGCTTCCTGGAGGAGGAATCCAAGGCAGGGGTGGGAGGGGGAAAATGTATTTCCTCCCCTTGTCAGTCTCTCCCAAACCCCCGAGCTGGGGCTGTCCCCTTCCATCAGTCACAACCTAGTGGCATCGTCACATTCACCAGCTATCTCAGACAATGAGTCTAATGTACAAAAGCTGTAGTGTCCTTTTTATTCGCACCTTTTTTTATAAGAATATACTGTAATACTAAAAATATTAAATCCGTACAGCCCCTTTACTGCCTGGCTTGTGCCTAGTCTTTGTTATCTTGCCTCATTTTGCCTCAAAAATGAGTGTTTATGTTTTGGAACTGGGGGAGATGATGTGGGGGTGGAAGCCAGGAGAAAGAAGGAAGGCTGAGGCCAGGAAACAAAGCCTGAGACTGGCTGGAGGTGGAGAGAAATCATGGGTTTAAACAAAAACATGGGTGGGAGTGGTCCTGGGAAATATGCTACTGCAGAATAAGAGAAGAGCCTTTTTAGACATCTTCTAGTCTAGCGTCATGGCAAAAGGAAGCCTTTTCTAGTAGTCACACATGTAAGGTGAGTTAAGTTGCTCATGGGTCGCCAGCTGGTGGGAAGGGAGAATAGGTTTTCCTGCTGTGTTGGTTGGGGAGAGGAGATGTGGGGTGAGGAAAACAGGACCTTCGTGAATCCTACCAGTCCGTGGCTGGTCTGATCCCTATCTTGAGGGATAGGGAATGCAGGGAGAGGTTCCATTTGATACTACAGTTGAAGCCTGGCCTGTACAATTTTCTAAGAAATCTCAAGTGGCTGGAGGTGAGAGAGCAGTGAAAAAGAAGGGCTGGTGCTACAAGCCAAGCTTAAGGCCACCTCCTCCCCCAACACTAATTAGATTCAAATTTAGATAGGAAAGGGTTTATTGGAATTAACCTTTGGAGGAGACATCTCGTTACTGGGCCTCCTCATAGGTTATTAACTCAGTTGAAAATAAGCAAATGGGAGGATTTTGAGTTAATGTAGAGGGGGGATGAAGAAGAAAGAATGCTTTAAATCTTTATAGTCATCCCTTCTGCCCTTCCTTGATATAATCCTCATTTTTATTCTTCTTTAAAAATCATTGTTAAAGATTTATCCAATTGTTGTTCATTCTTTTTTTTTCAGTCATGTCTGACTCTTTGTGACCCCATTTGGGATTTTCTTGGCAAAGATACTAGAATGGTTTGCCCTTTTCTTCTCCAGCTCATTTTACAGATGAGGAAACTGAGGCAAACATGGTGAAGTGACCTGTCCAGGGTCACACAGCTAGTAAGTATGTGAGGCCAGATTTGAACTCAGGAAGATGAATCTTCCTGACTCTATGCCCAGCACTCTATCCATCGGGCTACCTAGTTTCGCCTCCCCCACCCTTCCTTGTTCAAATAAGCAACTAGGTATCATTTACTGAGAACAGAGTAGGAAAGCAGTCCTCAACCATCCTGACCCTATTTTCCCTGGGAAGATGGAAAGACAAAGGGAGATCTGAAGCCAGTCTTAGCCACTGTCATTTTGCATAGCTGTCAAGCCAATGGTGTAAGATGTCAGATACCTCAGAGTCTGACATGACATCACTGTCAGGGTCAGATGGAATGGAGAAGAGAGAAAAAGGGAAGACAATAAAGACACAAGAGGGAGGTGGCACTGTTAAGCCTAAAACTGAGAAGACTAAGGGGTGATGTATGATGACCCAGAGTGGGACTGTCTCTCTCAGTTCCCTGCTCACTGCCCTCTCACACGTAATAATATCAATAATAGCTAGAATTTCTACTGTGTCTACTATGTAGGCACTGTGTTTTACAAATATAATCTCAATTGATTCTCACAACAGCCCTGCAAGGTAGGTGCTATTATTATCCCCATTTTACAGACGAGGAAACTGAGGCAAACAGAGGTTAAGTGACCTGTCCAAGGTCACACAGGAGTGTCTCAGGCTGGATTTGAACTCAGGTCTTCCTGACTCCAGGCCCAATAACATATCCACTGCACTACCTCTGTGAAATAGGATAATTAAGGTAAATTAAGGGATATGGTTTGGAGGGAAAAGAGTCAGACTACATTCCTGAGCCAGAAAAAAATAAACCCCAAATAGAAATGGTCACTAAGTTCCCTTCCAAGTGTAAAAACTCGAACTCCAGAGCTAAACTGAAATCATTCTCATTCATCCTCACCAAGAAAATTCCTTTTCCTACCCCACCTACATAAACTTCCTAAGAATGGGGAGAGAAGGGAGTGAGTACTGACCACCCATAAATCTTTGCTTCTCCGGCTGGCTGGGGGCAAGTCTATCACAAGAAGAATAAGAATAACTCAGGTTTGGAGAAGGGAGAGGAACCACCCTCCTTGAACTGCAGAGGTAGGAGATGATGGCTGTGGAATGTTACCTCTACTGTCAGATGTGGCCTCTGCCTTGGCTGGTTTCTCCTTAACTGTGTGTTTCTATCATTGAGGAAGGCTCATAGAGGGTATGGGAGGGTATACCTGGAAATGATTGTGAGGTTTAACAAAAAAATTAAGGGCATCAATAAAAGCAACGAGCAAAAATTCCTAGGGCCTGTCTGTCCTCCCTTCTTTCCCTGTTTGGAAAAAGAAACTGGACCAAAGTCCTCTCCCAGGAGGGGACGTCAGCCTGTTAGGGGGGCCGAGAAGATAAGGCAGCAACAGATGATACAGGATATCTCCAAAGTCTTAGCGCCCCTTTACTTAAAAGCTTTAGTAGCTTAAAACTGCACTAAAGACCTAAACCAAGGCAAAAACAAATGAGGTGGAAAAAAATGTTGAGTAAGGGAGAGTCCATTGGGGGTAGGGGGTATTAATAAATAAACTCTCTTATCTAAGGCCATTGATTTAACTTGTAGATGATTTGGACCTTTTGTCTCCCCACTGCTGGCCCCACAGTGTTATTCCAAGGGTCAAATGATATCATGGATACGAAAGTATTTTGAAAAGTGTTGAATGCTCTGCAAAGGATTCTTATTCTCACTATCCTCAGGTACTATATTTGAGTCCTAACCCCATTTCTCCCTCTGACTAGAGAGCTGTGTCATCCTGACTCCTTTGTCCCAAGTAGTTAATCTCCCACTCTGGGCTTCAGTTTTCTCATCTGTAAAATGACAGTTTTGGACTAGATGGTCTCTGAGTTCCTTTCTGGCTCTGAATCCATGACTTATTCTTAAGGGACCTCTCAGCTCTGACATTCTTTGGTCCTGGATAACGGGGAGTGATAAAAGGGCACAGTGACCCAGACCAAGATGAAACCTCATCCTAGATGCTGATACAAAGCCTGCTGCAGATTCTCAGAAAGGGAGGGCACTTGGGTATGTCAGAATTGGGACTGAGAGGATATGGAATTTGAGCTTCGATTAAAGTCCCCTCGCTGACCCCCTGTTTTGCTAAGCAATTTGATGTCTCCCAGAACAATGTCCCTGCTGACTGCTTTGCACATGTCATAGAGGGTGAGGGCAGCTATGGCAGCAGAAGTGAGGGCTTCCATTTCCACACCAGTGGGACCCCATGCCCGACATGATGCCTGGATCACTACAGCGTGGCGGGCAGCATCCAGCTCTAGCTGTACCTGGGTATGGCTCAGAGTCACATGATGGCACAGTGGGATCAGCTGGCTGGTCAGTTTGGCTGCCTGGATTCCGGCCAGTTGGGCCACAGCCAAGGCATCACCTTTCCGCAGCTGGTTCTGGCGGACGAGCTTGAAGGCCTCAGGCCCCAGGAAGACCACAGCAGAGGCCACAGCCACCCGCTCCGTGGTTGGCTTTCCGCCCACATCAACCATGGCAGCCCGCCCTTCTGAGTCCATGTGGGTCAGCTGGTCTGAGAGAGGAGAGAGTCTGGGGGTAGCTGGGACAACTGGTGTCTCTGGGTTAAGGCACTTGGTGCTGCAGTCAGGATCTTGGGGGTGAGAGCTATAGAATCTCCAGGAAGAGCTTGCCTCTAGCCTCGGCTGGGTTGGAGGAAGGACTCGTGGTAATCCCCCTCTTGTCCATGAAGCTCCCATGTGGCCGGAGAAACTCCCTCTGGCTCTGAGCCCCTGGATGTGAAGAGGGTCCCAGGGGGGAAGGCTGGAAGAGGTGAGAGGAGCATCTCCAAGCTTTGGGAAGCACCCTATATGGAAAAAGGGAAGAAGAGAAGAGGTTAAAGGCAATAGTGAGCCAACAGGAAGGTAAGGAAGATGTGGGCAGAAAGCCACAGAGATGTAAGCAATAGAGAGACACAGGACGAGACACAAAGGCAAAACTCTGAAGTAAATAGTTTCTTGAAAACTTTCACCCTTCCTCAGTCACCCTGACCAGCCAGAAATCAGCTTCCCCAGTGTGCTACAAAACGATGATCTGAATTGCAGAGTGAGCTCCCATCCTTAGGAAAACGAAGCTACTCCCCCCATCTGCCTATTATGACTTAAGAGTCAATGGGCCAGATGACCTCTCAAAGTTCTTTCCATTTTTTTTTAAATAATAAAACCTTTAATGTTCACTTGGGAAAGCTAGGTGGCTTAGTGGATAGAGTGCTGGGCCTGGAATCAGGAAGATTCAGGAGTTCAAATCTGGCCTCAGACACTTACTAGCTGTGTGATCCTTGCAAATCACTTAACCCTGTTTGCCTCAGTTTCCTCATCTATAAAATGAGCTGGAGAAGGGAATGGCAAACCACTCCCAGTATCTTTGCCAAGAAAACTCCAAATGGGGTCACAGAGTCGGACATGACTGAACAACAAAAATTTTTACTTATAGAATCATAGATTTAGAGCAGAAGGGACTTTAGAGGCCACTGAAGAATAGAGAGGTTAAGTGACTTGCTGAGGGGGGAGTGGGGGATAGGTGTCACAAAACTAGTAAGTGTCTGATGTAGGATTCAAATCCAGTTTTCCTGATTCTGATTACATCATCCTATCCACTTTGCTATGCTGCCTCTGAAAAACAGAGAATTGCAGATCTGTTGCCAGAAGGAACGCGGGAGACCATCCAGGGAGTACACCCTCCTCATTTTACAGATAAGGAAACTGAGGCAGAAGGATTTGCCTAAGGGCACACAGGTAGGAAGGCTCGGAGATGGGATTCTAATCTAGGTCCTCAGACTCTTATACCACAACTTTACTCATAGAGAATTTTTGACAATTTCAAAAGAAAAAAAAAAAAAAGAGAAAAGTCCTAGATGAAGGACTAAAATTTCCCTAGATGAAGTCTCTATCGCCAACAAAAAAATCTGTTAAGCAAATTAACAAGTATAAACAAGATACTAGGGGAAACATTTAACCTACTTAGGAGAATGCATTTTGTCAAATGCCTTCAAGCAGTCCTCAAGCATTTCAGACCTGCACATTTACTTACAGGAGACAGGCTCATTTCAAGGTGGCCTCTTCTCTTCCTTAAAGCAGGCCCCTTTAAGATCCTCTGCCTTTGGGGCCACATTTTATTTGTCTGACTCAAGTCATTTTACACACTTGAAAATGATAAAATGTCATTGGAGGCATCACAGCAGTAACACTGGACAAGGAGCCAAAAGACCTGGGTTCTAGTCTTGGCTCTTGCACTAACTTCCTTTGTCACCTTGGACAAGTCTACTACTCTTTTCTGAGCCTAATTTTGTCACGTAATTATAGAATTTTAAAGTTGGAAAAGAACGTAACAGGAGTCTGGGCCAAAATGTATCCAAAAGGAATCCCACTAACCCAACCAATGGTTAAAGGACCTAACCAGTCTGCCTTTAACGTTTGCTTTCAACCCTCCAACAAAAGGGAATCAACCCACTACCTCCCATGGCAGCCTGTTCTACTTATAGACCACATGCCCAAGTATCGTAACTTCTTTCTCTACAACATGTCTCATGTGTGTCCCCTTCTGTCGACTCACACAGCTAACATTCCAAGTCAGGCTCTTGATACTTGTCACCTGGACTATTAGTATAATCCAGGAATGGGCCTCCCAGTCTCTCCCCATTCCAATCTAGCCTCTACTCAGTGGCCAAAGTGATTTTTCTAAAGTGTAGATCTCGCTGCGTCCCGCTTCCCTGCTCAATAAACCTCAGTGGTTCCCTATTACCTCCAGGTTCTAACAGGAAGTCCTTTGTTCTTGTTCAATCACGTCTGACTCTGTATGACTCCATTTGGAATTTTCTTGGCAAAGATACCGGAGTGATTTGCCATTTCCTTCTCTAGCTCATTGTACAGATAAAGAAACTGAGGCAAACAGAGTTAAGTGACTTGCCCAGGGTCACACAGCTAGGAACTGTCTGAGGCTGGATTTGAACTCACAAAGATGAGTCTCCCTGACTCCAGGCCCGACACTCTATCCATTGTGCCACCTAGAAACCTTGGCAGCTCCTCAAAACTTGGCCCCTTCTTGTGTTCCCAACCTTCTTAAATTCTACTCTTAGCCTGGCTGCTGTACTTCAAATACAGCTCTTCCTAACCTGCCTTTGTGGCTTTGCTTTGGCGAGTCCTCATTCCTAGAATGCCCGTCTTCCTCGCTTCTGACCTCTGGAATCACTGGCTTCCTTCAGGACTCAGCTCCAACAAGGCTTTTGTTTACCTCCTCCAGCTGCTACTGCCATCCCCTAGACAGCTACCATCCCTTTGTCCTCTACTTACCTTATGTGTTCTGATGTTTGTCGTCTCCTCCAGTAGAATGTAAGCTCCCTGAGGACAGGGATTTCTTTTTTTTTTTTTCGTCTTTCTAGAACTTAACATCAAGACCTGGCACACAGTATATGCTTAATAAATATTTGCTGATGGGTTGATTCAAAGGTGTTTTTCCTTATGTGAAACCTAAATTTCTTCCTTTGCAATATCCACTTCCTACTTCTGCCCTTTGAAACCAAACAAAAGAAGTCTAATCTCTCCTCCACATGGCATCCAAGGGTTTTCCCATGAAAGGAATTATTATTTTACTATTATATTAATGACCAATTGTTAAATTGGCATTCAAGCTTTTTTCCTCTGTTTCTTCATTGAGGCCGAGCTCCTATGGAAGGTCTGCCTCTGACGGACACGACTGGTTAAGATTATCCCTAACCCTCAGGGAACATGCTCTTCAATCTGAGGCAGGACCCCACCTAACTAGGACACCTTACTCCTGATTAGAATTTAAACAGAATCCAGTCTAGGTGAGTTCTTACCCAGAGGAAATGAGCCCCTGTCCTTGTACCCCTCCATTAGAGTTTAGGGTAACCCACCTCATGAAGGAGAAAACCAACCAGAGTGGTCTGGATAGAGATGGTTCTCCCGTCCAGATTGCTGGCGGAAGCTCAGTCTCATGATCAACCTCCTCTCAGGAGGAAGAGCTGAAGACTTCTAGCCCACCTCCTCATTAAATGTCCACCAGGTAGGGTTGATTTTCAGTTGTCAATGGAATTCCCTTTCAAGGATTATTTAAAGCTTTCAGGTTCTCCATGTCTTTTGTCTTTGGTTACCAGGAGAAACCACTGACCATGAATTTGTTGATTGCTGGCTAGCCTAATTAATAAATTGATTATTAATTACCCAGAAACTCTGCCTCTCAGGGTTTTTCATTCATTCCACCCAACTTGAAGGAAGTTCACTGGTAAAAATGAAGGCATAAGGCTCACTGAACTTCATGGTCTCTGATGGTGTGTTACAATCCTATGATTCTAAGAGTCTCTTTGAATTGGCAAGGATGGGGAGAAAGGCTGGAGCTGTGATTTCAATGATATGGGGAAATCCCAAATGAAGAAATTCCATCTACCAATGTAAGTGAGCACCTTCTCAGCCACTTACAGTCTTGGAGAGTTTGCCTAGATGGATGACTTGGCCAGAATTAGAATCACAAAGACAGTAAGTGCCAGAAACTAGAATTGAAGTCAGGTGTTTCTGGCTCTGAAGCTGGCTCTCTAAACACGATGCCCTGCTGCCTCTCATTAGTAAGAAGTATTTGGAATAAGTCTGAATTACAGAACTCTGTTCTTATTTCATATTCTGACATCACCCTTGGGAAACCTTCTAATTCTTTACCTCTCATTACCTCCCTACTATTGGATGTATGTATTCTTCAGATAGCTAGATGGCTCAGTGGTCAGAGTGCTGGGCCCAGAGTCACAAAGACCTGGGTTCAAATCCAGCCTTAGACACTTTCCCTGGGCAAGTCACTTAACCTCTATTTGCTTTAATCCACCGGAGAAGGAAATGGCAAACCACTCCAGTATCTTCGCCAAGAAGGCCCCATGGATAGTATTAATGTGATATGGTCCACAGGCTCTTGAAGAGTATGACATGACTGAACAATAACAATTTTTTTTCGATTACAATGCAGTATGCACCTCTGAAATTACATGTTCTCTTTATAAGTAAACTGTTTTTAATAAGGCCTCTTTGGTGAACTTTTGAGATGAGTTTTACATAATTTTTTTTTTCCTAAGAAAATAAGACAAGGGGCAGCTAAGTGGCGCAGTGGATAGAGTACTGGCCCTGAAGTCAGGAGGACCTGAGTTTAAATCCAGCCTTAGACCAAACACTTGACACTTATTAGCTGTGTGACCCTGGGCAAGTCACTTAACCCCAATTGCCTAAAAAAGAAAGAAAGAAAGAAAGAAAATAATACATTCCATGACTGAAAGAAAATCTAGGGAAAAAAAAAAACAACCAATTTGAAGTCTTGTTTTGGTATCTCTTTTCTTTAACTAATGAATTAATTTTATTCTGTATTTTTTTTAATCACCTTCATATCCCATGAAAGACTCATGGGATAGTCAATGTGCTGACTTTAGTTAGAGAATCTGGGTTTGAATTCTGGTTCTGACAATTACTACCTAGGTGACCTTGGGCAAATCATTGAACCTCTCTGGGCCTCAGTTTCCTCATCTGTAAAATGGATGGGGGGTTGAAATGCCTCTAAGATAGGGGTTCTTTAGAAGACTGATGAAGCCCATAAACCCCTGCTGAACTCCTTTTCAGAATAATAAAATATATAGGATTATAGGGGAAACCACTTACATTGAAATGAAGATATAATTTTTCCCATACTATGCCCTTCCACACTATGAAATCTATTTATAGACTCATTGGGGAGTTAGATTAAGAAGCCTTGTTCTAAGGTCCCTTACAGCTCTCAATCCATGATCCTATAACTTCCATCAGCCCCACATCAGTAAGGGTATACCTCATAAGTCTGACTATGAAGAAATAAGGCAGATTCTATAAGATATATATGGCGACCACCTATCTTGTTACTTTGTAGGCACATTCTTTTGGAGGCACTTTGTAGGCACCATTATTATTTCTCAAAGTTCAGTAGAAAGAGCCCTGGCTCCAAAGTCAAGGATTTGGATTTAAATCCCATCTCCGATGTTTGCTACCTATGTGACCAAGTCATTGAACCTCTCTGGGCCTCAGTTTCCTCATCTGTAGAGTAAGGAAGTTGGACTAGATGTCTTCTGAGTTCCCTTCTAGTTCTAGGTTTCTAACCCAATGTAATTTTCCCCAATTGCTCCTCATGAAGTGAAGATGATCCAGGGTTCTAAAAGGCATAAGCTTGGAGAATTCTACCAGGTTGCAAAGGTGAAAAGGATGGGTTTGGTGACCAGCCATGTGTGTCTGCTTCCTGAGAACCAGCCTAACTAAACATGGAGAGGCTCATCACCAGGAAAGTTGACTGCCAGCTGCCATTTTTGATCAAAGCAACTCATGACACAATCCAACCAAGACATGCATGAAAAGCCCATGTCAGAAGAAGGTACACTGGGCTGATGAAATCATGGATCCTTGATACATTACTCATATTAGTCTGTTGTGAGTTCACTGGGTATTAGCCAAGTGGCCGAAATGATCTGTTTCTGAAGCAAAAGCCTTGTACCTAACTCCTATTCAGTAAGAGCTGCTCCTTTGGGACGCAGTGGATAGAACACTGGCCCTGGAGTCAGGAGGACCTAAGTTCAAATCTGCCCTCAGACATATAACACTCACTAACTGTGTGACCCTGGGCAAGTCACTTAACCTCAATTGCCTAAAACAAAAACAAAAACAAAAAAACAAAAAAAAAAGAACTGCCCCTTAGCCGTCTGAACTCCAATCAGTCGAATATTATTTTCCCAATGATTCAAAGGGACAGTTTAGAACTGGAAAGGACCTCAAAGGTCATCAAGGCCAAGCTCTTAGTTGCTCATGTTAGAAAACTGAGGCTCAAAGAATTAAGTGACTTGTCCACAATCACAGAGGTAACAAGTAGCAAAATTAGGATTTGAATCCAGTCTTCTGACTCCAGAAGGCAGCGTAGTGGCACAGTGGATAGAGTGCTGGACCTGAAGTCAGGAAAACTCATCTTCCTGAGTTCAAATGTGACTTCAGACACTAGCTGTGTGACCCTGGAAAAGTCACTTCACCCTTTTTGCCTCAGTTTCCTCATCTGTAAAATGAGCTGGAGAAAGAAATGGCAAACCACTCCAGTATCTTTGCCAAGAAAACCCCAAATGGGGTCACAAAGAGTCAAAAAGACTGAAAAAAAAACTATTGAACAACAATTTCCAACTCCAGACCCACCATACCATCTCCTCAAAGTTTGACCCTACGTATCCTACTTCTTTTATTGAACCTTAATGAAAATGGGACCTATCATTAAAGATCTGATAGCCCTACTTCCCCTTCACCCAATTCTCACCCCTGCCCCCAGGGAGGTCTTTGAAGGACAGGGAAGGATAAAGGGTGGGGACAAACGGTTACGTACTGATGGGTCACCCACCGATGAGGATCATGGGCCGGTTCTTCATCTGGGCAATGTTGAACATGCCTGAGTTAGGGGGAAAAATGAAAAAGGAAGAGAAAAACGGGGCAGGGGGAAGAGATCAATGAATGGAAGAGATAGATGGACAACATGTACACCTGGTATGACAAATACCTGTGTTCATGCACAAACACATACGTGGATGAGTACACAATAAGGCTGTCTTTAGAATAATAGGGAAACCAGCCTTCCAGACTCCCAGCCCTCAAATCTTGATAAACTTCCAGAAAAGGTGGGTGCAAGGGGATATAGATAGGGAAGAGAGGTAGAGACCCAAGTGAGCAGCTTATCTGCCTCCTCTGTCCTCCCTCTCCCCCCACCCATGGGAGAGGGACACAAGGTCCAAGAGGAATGACTGGGGTAAGGAAGACTTAATAGGATTTAAGCTGCCACCCTTTCTCCCTAGCGCTAGTCTGCCCAGCCCCCCCCCCCCCCCGCAACCCTCATCAACTTCCCTCTCAACCCTCCCAACTCCCTCCCTCTCCCAACCTCAATACCTGCATGTTGCTGCTTCTTTCTGCCCACGGCAGCCCCGATGATGCTCAGCAGCTCCTCCTCAGAGGCCCCAGCCCGAAGGTGATCCCGTAGAGACACTTCTGAATTTCCAAAGAGGCAAACCTGCCCAACATCACAACACAGAATCGATGACACTCACCCTCATCACTGGGTTTTGGTCCCTGGATGGGGACCGGATATCCTCCTCCCTCCCTCAGCCCACTGAGCTTGGAACAAAAGGAAATGGATTAAAGCTATAACAGGAAGAGATAAGGATGCAGCCTGGTACAGTAGGAAAATCACTTGTCTCTGAAATCAGAGGACCTGAGCTCAAATCAGAGGCAATCAGGTGATGCAGGAGATAAGATATGAATGTGGGATTTGGAGACAGGAACCACCAGGTTGAAATCCTGCCTCAGCCATGTTCTTGTTGTAAGAATCAAATCACATATGTAAAGCACTTTGCAGACCTCAAAGCTCTATAAAAATATGTGTTATTCAGTTGTTTTTCAGTCATGTCTGACTCTCCCTGACCCCATCTGGGCTTTTCTTGGCAGAGATACTAGAGTGTTTTGCCATTTCCTTCTTCAGCTCATTTTACAGATGAGGAAACTGAGGCAGACAGGGTTAAGTGACTTGCCCAGGGCCACACAACGAGCAAGTGTCTGAGCCCGGATTTGAACTCAGAAAGATGAGTCTTCCTGACTCCTGGTGCTCTCTCCATTGTGCCTCCTAGCTATTATTAAAAATTATTAAATATCAGCTATTATTAAATCCTGCCTCTGACACTTACTACCTGTTTGACCTTGCAGAAGGAAGGAAACAAGCATTTATTAAGTACATTTCAGAAACTGTGCTAAGTACTTTACAAATATTATCTTATTTCATCCTCATAATAATGCTAGGGAATAGGTGCTGTTATTAAACCCATTTTACAGAGGAGGAAACTGAGGCAGACAGGGATTAAGTGACTTGCCTAGGGTCACAGACCTAGAAAGTATCTGAGGCCAAATCTGAACTCAGGCCCAGCATCCACTGCACCACCTCGCTGCCTCTAACTTAACTTCCCTGGCCTTCATTTTCCCCATTTATAAAATAAGGGACTTCTTAAGTCCCTTCCAGCTCAGGATCTATAATCTTGTGAGTTCATGACAATAAAAAGAAGATGCTCTTGGGTAGTGAGGGGAAAGGGCCAAGGCCCCAGGGCGAGGAACCTGCGGCCCAGAGACGGTGACACATGGCCCTCTAGGTCCTCAAGTGTGGTCCTTTGACCGAATCCAAATCCAATCCACAGTTTGGATTCAGTCAAAGGGCCACACTTGAGGACCTAGAGGGCTACATGTGGCCTCAAGGCTGCACGTTCCCTACCCCTGGGCCAAGCAGCTTAAAGATAGAGGAGGCCCTGCCAGGATCACCTGCAAAAAATCATTGTCCAGCTTCTAGGTCAGGCACAGGTGAGAGTCTCCCAAAGATATTTCCACTTGGACGTCCCAGTCACCTCAAAGTTTCTCAAACTGAAATCAGTCTATACTTAAAACCAAACTTCTCTTTTAGATGTCCCTATTTCTGTCAGTGATACAATCCCTCCTTGTCACTCTCACCCATAACCACAACCTCAGAATCAGCTCTGGGAAGAAGTCAGTCATTAGATTCTGTTTTTTTCTCTTCTTTCAAAAATATTCCTCAAGGGGCAGCTAGGTGGCGCAGTGGATAGAGCACGGGCCCTGAAGTCAGAAGGACCTGAGTTCAAATCCATCCTCAAACACTTGACACTTACTAGTTGTGTGACCCTGGGCAAGTCACTTAAACCCAATTGCCAAAAAAAATAAAAAAATAAAAAAAAATATTCCTCAAATCGGTAACGACTAAAATGGTTTCCTCATTGGTCTCCCTACCGCTAGTTAGCCCCACTCTAATCCTTCATGCACTGAAGAATCTTCTTGATGAATGCACCGTTTTCATCATGCCACCTGCCAGAGGCCACCATGCCACCGCTGACACAAAAACTCTTCAGTGGCTTCCCGCTGCCTACAGAATAAAGTCCATATTCCTCATCCTAGTATTTAAGGCCTTCTACAGTCTGGTCCCCACTTACTTTTGCCAGGTTTATCTCCTCTTACTTTCCCTTCCATATATTCTCTGATGCAATCAAACCGGCCTATATACCATCTGCCAAAATTTTTCTCCTTCCTACCTTTGTTCACAATATTTCCTGTTCCTGGAATGCTCCTCCTTGATCTTCTCTATCTATCCAATTCCAACTTGGCTCGTCTCCAATGGTCCCTCCTTTAGGAAAAGCAGGGCCACCCCAACACACAACAGCACCTTTTTTTCTGATCCCTGCGGCATTCACTTGGAACACTGCCTTGTGGCAGTTTTCAGCACAGTTGCCTTCTTTAAAAAAATTTTCTTATGCATTCTGTTCTCTGAGACTATGAGCTCTTAAATGACAGACCCTGTACTTCTCTGTATGCTTCTCCCATGGTATCTAGAATGCTGAGTACACTGAATATAATCATTAAACTGTTATTGAATAATAGATAGGTTCGGTGTCAAGGATGATATAACTGGCTACAGTGTTCCAAATCAGCAGTTCTGATGCAAAATCCATAGATACCTTTTAGGCTTTGATTTTGATAAGCCCCAGACAGGGGTGGGGAACTTGTGGCCCTCTAGGTCCTCAAGTGCAGCCCTTTGGCTGAATCCAAACTTCACAGAACACATCCCCTTAATAAAAAGGATTTGTTCTGTAAAACTTGGACTTGGTCAAAAGGACACACCTAAGGACTTCAAGGCCACATGTGGCCTCAAGGCCACAGGTTCCCCACTCCTGTCCCAGACCTTTGGTTGAGTAAGGGTGATATAACTGAGATTTTTTTTTTGGAGGAGGGAAAAGGGGAACAGGACAGAGAGCTTCTAAGCAATCACAATCCACCTACGAGTCAACCCCTATCCTGGAGTTCAGAGAATTCCCTAAGGCTCAAGAGAGCAGCTCACCCATTGTCCTGTTCCAAGGCTCCCATCATCCCCCGGGTAATGACACAGAATATATCTCAAGCCTGGCCTGCTTTACCATCAACCATCTCTGTGTGCTGTTTTCTAAAGAAATCTCTAAATCAAGGGTTCTCAACCTTGTTTCATGGACTCCCTAGGCAGTCCAGTGAAGCCCATGGACCCCTTTTCAGAATAATGTTTTTAAATGAATAAAATAAAATATATAGGATTACAAAAGAAACTAATTATATTGAAACTCACTTATCAAGATATTCCAAAAAATCAAGTTCATGGACCTCAGGGTAAGAATTCCTGGTCTATAAAGTCAATCCTTTCCAGCATTCCGTACCTACTCCCTAAAATAATCAATATCTCAGGAGGAAGAAAGAGAAGATATTCAGGATGGCTTTGACACTACTGGAGGGGGGTGGAGATGGAACAACACTGGGGAGACAAAACTCTTGAGGGAAATGACATTGGGGGAAAGTAGTTCAGCTGGTGAGGCATTGTGGGGAAGGGGTGACCCACCTTGAGGTTCCCATCAGCTGTGATGCGGAGGCGGTTGCAGGTCCCACAGAAATGCTCAGACATGGACGTAATGAAGCTGATCTGGCCTCGGAAACCAGGGACCCTGAAGGCCTGGAGGAGAAGAAGCAGCTTGGAGCTATGGGAAATGTGCTAGGGAGATGAAGTCTCCACTAAGATGTCAGCAGGAGCTCCTCCTACCCAACCCTTACTCCAGACAGACCAATTCCCAACCCCATAAAGGCTATTTCATCCATCTCTTGACCTTCACGCCAAAAGACTTCCTACATAGATGACTGAAGAAAGCAATGCCACCCCCTATGCTGCCCTCCAATTCACCCCACTACTCCCATTCTCCCAACTGAAACATCTCAAGATCTTCCAACCAAGACATACGGCAAGTTTTTTGCTTGTTTGTTTCATTTTGTTTTCTATTATCTTACCTTATTCCACCCTCCTAGAACGTCAACCCAGACTTCCTACTCTCTGCCAAACTTCTCACTTCCTCTAGGAGGAAGACACGGGCTAACCTCCCTGTCTCAGACCCCAGCCCAATTTCCCTTCCAACCTTAGCTGTGCTAGAGGCTTCCTCTGGTAGCTTCTCCAGCTCTGGCCAGCGCTGGTGGATCATGTCCAGCATTTCCGTATAACTGACCATCTTCTTAAAGTTCCATTTGTTACCTGGCGGGGGGGAGGGGGCAGCACACAGCAGCCTTGGTCACTTTTCAGAAGATCACAACATTGCCCAATCTCTGTGATCCCGGACAAGTTATTTCACCTCAGTTTCCCTTTTGGTAAGATGGACATAAAAACAATTGCATTCCCTGCCTTGCAGGCTTGTTCTGAGGAAAGTACTTCATACACCTCTGAGGTCTTTGACAACAGTAGCTATTATTATCATTATAAAAATTACACATTTAGAGAATCACAGAATCTTCATATTGGATAGGACCCTCAAAATTGACCTCATCATACTTCTCTTCCAGTATGAGAATCTTAGTAGCAAAGTGGAGATGGGCAAATCATTTGACTTCTCAAAGCCTCAGTTTATTCAACTATCAAATGGGGATAATGATATTTTTACCATCTACCTCACAGGATCTTTGTGAGGAAAGGGCTTTGTAAACCATACAGTGCCACAAAAATTTGAGTTATTAATAGCAAATAGGCAGCTAGGTGGTGCAGTGGACAGAGTGCTGAACCTAGAGTCAGAAAGACCTGAGTTGAAATCCAGCCTCAGATAATCAGGAGCTGTGTGACCCTGAGCAAGTTAGGATCTGCTTGCCTTAGTTTCCTCATCTATAAAATGGGGACAATAATAGCACCTATCTCCCAGGGCTGTTGTGATGACAAAATAGGTTAATAATTATAAAGCATTTTGCAAAAATTAAAGCTCTATATAAATGCTACTTTATTACTATTATTATTATTATTAGGAGTCACGCAATCAGGGTTCAAATCCCCAGCTCTTCAACTGTGGGCAAACCACTTTGATTCTCTGAAGCTCAGTTTAATTGTCTATAAAAATAAAGGAGTTGAACCAGATGATCCCTAAGGTTTCTTCTGGCTCTAACATGATTTTCTGATCCTAATCCCTATCCCCAACCCCACTCCAATCCCTGCTATTCACGGTTCCTCTTCTAGGGCTTGGAAGTGGGTAAATAGTTAAGACATCCTCAAAAGGAATCACTAAGAAATTCTGACACAGTATCAGAGCTCCCAATCAAAGAGATCCATTGTTGGGGGCAACTAGACCCCTCAACATTGAAGCCATGATGACACCAGCCACTCCCACAACATGGCCCAGGCAAAGCTCAGTCTTTGAGGTCATAGGACCCTTCCCACAGCCCAGTCACTGACCATCAAAGGGCATGTACTCAATGAAGCGCACGTCCAGTGGGAGCCCCTCACTGAGGGCCACAAAATCCAGCAGCTCATCTTCATTCAGGCCACGCATCACCACACAGTTCACCTGGCCAGGAAGGGACAGCATGCTGACACTCAACATTATCCAAGCCATCCCCCAACCCAAGCAGCCCCAAACACAACAGTCCCCTGGGGATCCTGACAGCTCCCAGCACTTCTCATTGTCTTTCTCCCTCTTCATCATTTCTTTTTGTGTCCCCCTCCCCCTTTTCTTGCCTCGTTCTGGGGTTGGGTAATGTCAGATCAATGGGGCTAGAAGAGATGAAGGGCAGGGCAGATACACCAAGGTGGGGAGCTAAGACAACGTACATCTGGAAGGTCATCTAGGGGCCAGGGAGCTGATGTGAAAAAAAGGGGTCGATGGGGAAGGGAAGCAAATGGGATAAGGAATTAACAGCAAACAAATACTTCCTCACCTTGACAGGGTCAAAACCCAACTCAATGGCCTTATGGATGCCTTCCATAACTTTGTGGAAACCTGTATGGGAAAGTAGGGGGATGAGGTGAGCGATTAAGGCTTCTTTACCCTCATATATCCCTAGGCAGTTGTGATGGTGGTGATTATTATTATTCTACACTCAATTGTCTCTTTGGTGTTTCTTTCCAACATCCAAATTCACAGCAGAATCAGTAGCCAGGCCCAAACTCCATGGAAAAGCCCAATCTGCTATGTACAAATCCTACAGGGAATTCCAAAGCCAAACAGAATTCCAGTTTGGTTATTCCAGTGTTGTGGATTATCCTGCTATGGACTGTCACTCCAATTTATAAATGGGTAATGGAAAATACTACAAAGTTTCCTGGGGCTCCAAGAGATTAAGTGACTTACCCAGGGTCACACAGGCAGTATGTGTCAGAAACAGGACTGAAACTCTGGTCTTCCTAACTCCAAACTCTACTTTTTATCCACTACATCAGAGGGGTCAAACTCACTGTGCAAAACCTCCCCAGTGCTACCTGAACCAGATTAAAATAAAACTGGGAAATGTTTAACAAAATAAATAAAAATACAACACAACAGATATAATGTTAATTTGTGGTTTTCTAAGTCAATACAGTGGATACCACTGCACCATATTGCTTCTCAGTTTTCTTAGAGAAGCAACTCAATAAGACTATATGTTGCAAAGCTGGTGCCAGTTCACATTGGAGGAGGAAATTTAGTCATTAAGAGTTCTTTAATTTAAAGCATTAGGACTTCCCTATACTGTTGAAATCACAATCTGGCTTAAAAAAAAAAGTAATATTATCAGTCATCTTGCCATTTGGTCCCCTGATCACTTACTTCTGACCTCTGGAATCTCTCAAAATTTTCCTTATCATTTTATTTTATTTATTTATTTATTTATTTATTTTTAGGCAAATGGGGTTAAGTGACTTGCCCAGTGTCACACAGCTAGTAAGTGTCAAGTGTTTGGTCTGAGGCCTGATTTGAACTCAGGTCCTCCTGACTTCAGGGCCAGTGTGCTCTATCCACTGCGCCACCTAGCTGCCCCTCCTTATCACTTTAGCACAAAATCTCCACTCATACTACCACCCTAATTCAGAACATCCTGCAAAGTGTGATGCTTGAATAATGTTTCCAACATACAGCTCCAATCCCCATCACTCGTGGTCAAAAACTTACAATGGCTCCTATTGCCTGCAACACACACACACACACACACACACACTCCCTCTCACACACACTTTCTCACACACATACACACACTCTCCCTCACACAAACACACTCACTCTCACACACTCACTCTCTCTCTCTCACACACACACATTCACACTCACACACACACATTCACACTCACACTTCTTCCCCTGGCAGTTCAGACCCTCCACACTCTGGACTCAACCATCCTTCTCTGCTTTTTTCAGACTTCCTCTTCTTTGTACACTCCATGTGCTAGACTAACCCAAATTGTTTCCCGACCTCTTACCGTCCTCTCCTTCCTCCATGCATGAGCACACCATATTCCCTTTGTGTGGGATACCCTCCCTCTTCAGTGACATCCTTTTCTTTAGGAACTCCACAAAGCCTTCTCTAATCCATTATGACTTAGTGATTTGTTTTTTTTCTTTCTTCTGAGTGAGAAGAAGCCTGGCATAGTGGATAAAGAGCTGGCCTTGGAGCCCAAAAGACCTGAATTCAAGTTCCATCTCAGACACATACTGGATGTATGCTCTACTCAATGAGTCTGTCTTGAAGAGAAGGTATCTATTTGCCCTGGAAGACAGTCTATCCAGGGGTGGGGAAGCTGCGACCTTGAGGCCACATGTGGCCCTCTAGGTCCCCAAATGTGGCCTTCTGACTGAATCCAAACTTCACGGAACAAATCATTTATTAAGGGGTCCGTTCCGTGAAGTCTGGACCTAGAGGTTTGGGGACCTAGGTCTCCAAATGTGGCCTTTGACTGAATCCAAACTTCATGGAACAAATCCTTTTATTAAGGGATTTGTTCCGTGAAGCTTGAACCTAGAGGGCCACGTGCGCCTCAAGGCCGCAGCTTCCCCAGCTCCAGTTCCTTGTCCTACTGAAATCACAGGACCAGTTCCTATCCCTGAGTTCCTTCAGTGCTTTTCTATCTTAAGGTACTTACAAATAAGAACAGTGCAACACAGAATGCAAGTGAGAGGGAGCACAGTATAATGGAAAGAACACTGGACTGGAATGCCAGACTCCTAGTCTGTACCCCCATCTCTGTATGACCCTTGGCAAGTTACTTCTCCTTTTATTTCTTCTAGTGTAAGGTGAAGGTTTGAGACTAAAGTTCTTTCCTACTCTGAAATTCTGTGACTGTGTCACAATCTCCCCTGCTAGACTATAAGCTCTTTAAGGGCAGGGACAAGGTCTTGTTCATCTTTGTGCATGGCACGGAATATATAGTAAGTGCTCAAATAATACTTAAGTGAATTTAAATGATTTTTTAGAAGCATTCAGCAAGTCTTGAGCTGACTCTGGTCTGGGAAATCTCAGGTCAGTTTCCTCTTTCTTCTTACTCCTCCATCTTTAACATTTCAACATCTCCTTAGTTGACTTTGGGATAAGAGGAATGACAGAGACAATGGAAAATGACCAGTTCAACCTCACCACCAACCCTTGGCTAAGAAACCAATATGGATTGACTCCATATTACCTCCACCTGAACCCATCCATTCCCTAGTAATGGTGCCACCCTCCCATAGATCTGCTCTGGTCACCTTTCCTACGAGTGATGAACTCAAACTTTGCTGGCACTAGGGTGTCTAGGCTGATGTTGATGGCATTGAGCCCAGCTCCCTGGAGCCTAGGTAGGAGCCGGGCAAGGTTGATCCCATTGGTGGTGATGGCGATGGTCTTCAGGCTGTCCAGCTGTTGAAGTTGAGCTGTGGGGTAAACAGAAAAGAGGCAATGAAGGAACCAAATTCTGACTAGTTTGTGTTCCCCAAAGGAAGGTGAAGCTTTTTGGCCAAAAGAAGATTTTTCAACCCTCTTTGGATCTTTATTATTCAGGCTGTTCCTGGAACCTTAGATAATAGGGATGGAACTGTTAATTATGTCAAATGCCACAAAACTCACCATACCCAATAACTTGACTTTTTTTTTTTAAGCAATATGGTGGTTTTCAACATGGACCCCTCTACCCTAGCTTCCCACTCCCACTCTCCGCTCTACTCATTTGCTTGTGAGCATTTTCAGTTCAGCTCTATGCTTGAACTTGAGCCCAGAGCCAATGAAGAAATCAGGCAAGTGAGACCATGAAACCAGGCAGTGGGCCTATAGTGAGATGTGGAATTGGTTCAGTTTCACTGTGCGGTTCCTCCCTTGCCAAGAGTAGGGAAAGATTTTCAGTATTTCCTAAAGGAGACACTGGTTAGTTGTATGGGTGGGTGAGTGGGAGAGGTAGTGGAGGCAAGGAACAGGGGCAACTTTCATAGTATCATAAGATTCAGAGCTAAACAGAACCACACCAGTCATGTAGACCACAGGTGTTAAACAGGTTGCACAATCCATATGAGGCTGAACCAGATTAAAACGTAATTGGGAAATATTTCACATAATAAATTGAAATACAATAGCACGTAGATAGCATTAATATATGGTTTTCTAAGTCAATACACAGCCCACAGAGATCCTGATGAACAGTTTAGTGTCTATATTTCTACCTGAGTTTGACACCACTGAGCCAGACCAACTCCTCCACTTTAAAAGGTCCAGAGCTGGGCAGGGATTTAGCTAAGATTACACGGCTAGAAAAGCTACACAGCTGGGATTCAGACTGATCTTTTTACTACAAGGTTGGTCCCCCTTTCCCAAGCCCATTTCTCACCCTCAGATTTGACCTGATACAGCTGTTTTCATTGAAGAAATATTAAGCAACAATATGAGAATCAGACTCCGAGTTCAAATTTGGCCTTAGACACTAGCTGTGTGACCCTGGGCAAGTCACTTAACCCTGTTTGCCTCAGTTTCCTCATATGTCAAATGAGCTGGAGAAGGAAACGGCAAACCACTCCAGTATCTTGGCCAAGAAAACCCCAAATGAGGAGCTGAGAAGCGCAGTGGATAGAACACTGGGCTTGGAATCAGGAAGACTCATTTTCCAAATCTGGCCTTAGACATTTCCCAGCTGTGTGACACCGGACAAATCACTTAACCCTGTTTGTCTCAATTTCTTCATCTATAAAATGAGTTAGTGAAGAAAATAGCAAACCACTACAGTTATCTCTGCCAAGAAAACCCCAAATGGGGTCTCGAAAAAAGTCGGACATGACTGAAACAACTGAATAACAACAACAAAACAATATGAGGCTAAGATAAGATTATGCCTTAGAGGTGAAAGTGTGTACCAGCAAGTGACACAAAATGTAAGAGATCACAGCTGCACTTTTTTTTTAAAAGCTCTCCTAGGGAGGGAGGTGCTTTACCTGCCATCCTCCCATCCAGAGGCTTGGAGACTGATCCACCCAGCTAGCTTTAGAGGCCAAATCACAATCTGGGCTCTAGCTACTGATGCTATGTAGCCCATCACCCCTCATACCTATGACCACCACCCATAGCCCATCATATCTGTAAAGAGAGCTGTGGCATACTGGCAAGAGCCCTAGATCTGAGGGAGTCCTGGCCCCATTACTAACTTACTGTGTGACCCCAAGCAAATCCCTTCACCTCTCTGAGACTCATTTTCTTCCTTAACAGAATAAGGATAGTGATAGCTGTACTCGCTGCTTTCTAAAGTTGGTGCGAGGATCTGAAGAAACAAAAAAATGAAAGTACTTAGTTGACTATATCCTGCCAGCTGTTATCACTATGTCTGATCCAGATCCCCACCCACCCGGCCTCCAGAAAGATAATGGTGGAGACTTGGCTGAGGTGGGGTGAGGGTCTCTGAGAGGAGGGAGATGAGGAGGAAGCTGGCAACAAGCAGAGTTTATGGGGTTCAGGGTAATTCTGAGAATACAGCCTGACCCCCAAGGCAACACCCAGGAGAGCCCAGCTCCCCCAAGGAGGCCATTTTCTTTGCATGAATGTCCCAATATCCCTGAGAGAGTGCTTTTTAGGGGGAGGTGGGGAGGACAGAGATAACAATAGAGTAATCATAGAATTTATAACTGGAAGGGATCTTACAGATGAATCAGGCCAACCCTCTCATTTTATAGATGAGGAAATTGAGGCCCAGAGAAGGGAAATTACTTGTCCAAGGTCACAATATGGTAAGTAGCAGAACTAGGATTTGAAGCCAAGCTCACTCCAAATTTAGGGCTCTTGCCATATAACCACACACTCATACAATAAGTGACTAGAAGCAGGAAGGCTGGATTGAAATGCTATCAGGATTTGGCTTAAAAAGTGGGGCACAGCTCAGGGTGGGGCACAGATGAAAAGTCAAGGAGCTGAGTGGTAGGGGAGGGAAAGGGCAGAGGGCAGGGGCTGGAAGGAGATGAAGTGGGTCAGGAGGTGTGCAGAATTCAAGGCTGAAAAGCAGTGTCGTAACAGAGCCAGGTGGCTCCTGCCAACAGCAGCTGGAGACTTCAAGTCACAGGACAAGCACACGGCATATTTTACAGACACCTCCGGAAAGTCAAGGGCCAGAAAGTGCTAGACTCAGCCCAGAAAGCCATCACACCCAATCGGATGACTGTGTCTGGGGTGAGAAAGGAGGGAAGGGGGTAGCAGGGACAGAGGGTGAAAGTTCCAGATTCAGCCAGGACTCACCCACAATGTCTACCACGTCAGGTCTGATGAGAGGTTCCCCACCCGTGAGTCGGATCTTGTCTACCCCTTCCTTCACAAAGAGCCGGGAAAGGGTCAGAATCTCCTTCGTGGTCAACAGGTCGGCCTTGGGAGTCAGCGGGACGCCCTCCTCAGGCATACAGTACTGACCTGGGAAGAGGGGGTGATAAGTAGGGAGAGTAGTTAGGTCTGAGGCTCTCTCAAAGAGCAGTCTTCTGTTTCCTCCAAGTCTTATGCTCCCCTAACTATAACATATAGTCACAATCTTCACCCTAAACACAACTACAACCCTGACCCCAGCCTAATCCAGACCTGACCCTAACGCCCAACCGAAATCTTAATCTTTTTTTTATTCTGAACTTAATAAAACAAGCATTTCCATAACATAGTAGAATAGAAAAAAAAGATGATTGCATATGAAACTGCAAATCTATTATGTGTAACTTGCTAGTTCTTTTATAAATATAATAAAATTATCGTGTAACTTTCTTTTTTTCCTTTTTCCTCCCTCCTCCCCCTCCCTAGATGGCTACCACATCCTAAATCTTAATCTTAAAAATCCAGTCTACTCCTTGTCCTAGTCCTAACCCAATCCTAAATTTCATCCCTTCTGTTGAAATGCTGATTATTGGAGCAGGTAAGTATGGAAGCTCCACGTCCACAGTGGACAGTAAAAAAAGCAGCCATGAACTCTTCTCTGAGCGGTTGGAAGGCTTCCTAGAGGAAGTGAGACCTGGCAGTCATTTAATTAATGGGGCAGATGTTTGGCTGGCTGGGATGGTGAGAGTGGAGAGCCAAAATCGTATCAATGGGGGGAGAAAGGAGAGTACCAACTTACAGCGAAGGTTACATTTCTCAGTGAGGGAAATGCGCAGATAGTTGTGTCTTCTGCCAAAGCTGTCTGTGAGGAAAGCAGAGAAGGGGACAGCACGATCTCGTAGGAACTCCCTCCTCCTGGCTGGGGATAACGCCTGCAGAGATGAATCAGCTGTTATTTATTAAGCACTTAGTATGTGCCAGGCTCTGCACTAAGAAGTATTGAGGAATACAAAGAAAGATAAAGAAGGGTTAGGGTAAGGAAGAGAAAACCTCTCCTAGAATGGTTCCTGATCATCCTGTTTATTAATCAATCAAAAATTGGGACACAGCGCACTATTGGTGGAGTTGTGAACTGATCCAACCATTCTGAAGAGCAATTTGGAACTATGCCCAAAGGGCTATAAAATTGTGTATACCCTTTGACCCAGTAATACCACTACTAGGTCTGTATCCCAAAGACATCATAAAAAAAGGGAAAAGGACCTACCTGTGCAAAAATATTTCTAGCAGTTCTTTTTTTGTGGTAGCAAAGAATTGGAAATTGAAGGGATGCCCATCAACTAGGAAATGGCTGAACAAGTTGTGGTATGTGAGTGTGATGGAATACTATTGTGCTATGAGAAATGATGAACAGGCTGACTTCAGAAAACCTGGAAAGACTTACATGAACTGATGCTGAGTGAAGTGAGCAGAACCAGGAGAACATTTTACACATTAATCTTAACACTGTGCAATGATCAACTATGATTGACTCAGCTCTTCTCAGCAACACAATGATCCAAAACAATTCCAAAAGACTCATGATGGAAAAGGCTATCCACACAGATGGAAAGAATTGATGCAGTCTGAATGCAGATCAAAACATACTATTTTCACCTTTTTTTGGTTTTTTGTGTGTTTTTTTTTCATTTTGTTCTGTTTTTCTTTCACAACATGATTAATTTTGAAATATGTTTTACATGATTGCATGTGTATAACCTATATCAGATTGCTTGCTGTCTTGGGGAGGGGGAGGGGAGGGAAGGAACTCAAAATCTTTCAAAAAATGAATGTTGAGAATTGTCTTTGCATGTAATTGAGTATACAAAGAAAGGCAAAAATAACACCTGCCTTCAAGGAGGTTATATTCTAATGATGTAGACAACATGTAAATAAATATGAACATGTAAAAACACAGAGTAAATAGAAGGGCAGCTAGGTGGTGCCATAGTGTACAGAGTGCTGGGCCTGGAGTCAGAAAGACTCATCTTCTGAATTCAAATCTGACCTCAGACATTTACTAGCTGTGTGACCCTGGGCAAGTCACTTAACCCCGTCTGCCTCAGTTTCCTTATCTGTAAAAATGAGCTGGAGTATGGAATGGCAAACCACTCCAGCATCTTTGCCAATAGAACCCCAAATGAGGTCACGAAGAGTCAGACACGACTAAAATAATTGAACAATAATGGAGAAAAGTGGAAGGCAATCTTAGAGGGGAAGGCACTTTATCGTCCCTTACAGGTGGCTAAATGCCACTGACTTGTCCAAGCTCTTTCCCATTTGTGGTCTCATGCTGACCTGGTAGGACAGGGTTAGGGATCAGGGATCATTCTCCCTATTTTACAGACTAGAGAACTGAAGCCCAGAGCTCAGGTCACAAACTGAGCCACAGTCCCTCTCCATCCCACATTTTCCTGGTTCATAGATGTAGGAGGCTCAAGTTTTCAGAGTATAATGGAAAGATTATAAGGTTTGGGGTCAAGAGACATAGTGAACATGAGATAATATGATCAGAGATTTAGAGCCAGAAAGGAACTTGAAAACTAGATAACCTAACACTTTCATTTTATTGATGAGGAACTGAAGGCGAAGAAGGTTAGATGCCTTACCCAAGGTCATATAGATAATAAATAGCAGGCAGGATTTGAAACTAGCTCCTATGACTGAAAAGCTAGTGTTCTTTCTACTGTATGCTGTGTGACCATGGGCAACTCACTTAACCTCTCTGGGTCTCAGGTTACTCACATATTAAGAGAAAATGATAACATACTACTAACCTCAAGAGACTGTGTGAGAGAAAAGTGTTTTACCAGTTCCAATCAACTAAAACAAAACAAAACAAAACTAGGGGGTTAGACTACATAATTGCTAAGATATTTTATGAGGTTAAGTAATTTATTATTTTTACATTTAAATAAATCCCTGAAGAATCTATAATTTCATCAGTATAGGAACTGCCAGTATGGAAATTCTCTCCTCCACCAATGCAGACTGCAACCAGACTATGACTTATCTACTTATGTCCTAATAAGTTGCCTGAGACACTAAGAGAATACGTGATTTCACTCTGTAATTACTAATGGTAGGATCTGACACTAGGTCATAGGATCATAGGTCCAGAGGAGACCTCAGAAGCCATGGAGTCTAACCCCATCATTTCACAAATGAAGAAACTGAGGTTTAGGGGTTGAAGCGATTTGCTCAAGAACACACAAAGAGCTTAAAGTTCAGAGGTAGGATTTGAACTCAGGTCCTCTGCCTCCAGAGCCAGTTCCCTTTCCACTGTATCACTCTGCCTCCTTCCTGATTCAAAGTTCATCACTCTATCGAATAGAACACTGCCTCTCATTATTATTTCTACATTTCTACAATTATTCTAGTAATAATTCTACAATGATTGTTTCTACAATTATAGTAATAAGAAGACACAGTAATTCACAAAAATGATCTACCAAGTTGTAGAGGGGTTGTTAATTGCACTGATGAAAGGAATACTCCCACCTAAGAAATCACATATCTTTGAAGTACTGTTTACAACTTGTTTCTGTCATGTCCAACTCTTCGTGACCCCATTTGGGGTTTTCATGACAGAGATGCTGGAGTGGTTTGCCATTTCCTTCTCCAGCTCATTTTACAGATGAGGAAACTGAGGCAAAGAGGGTGAAGTGACTTGTTCAGGGTCACCCAGATAGTAAGCATCAGAGGCCAGATTCGAGCTCACTGTTATCTACTGTTCCACCTAGCTGCCCTGTAGTTTACAACTATAGAGTGCTTTTATCTCATAAATCCTCTTCACTGAAAGAATGAGGTAGGGAACACAAGTATTACCTGACTTCTTTACTCTAAAAATCACTGGCTTCTCACTTATTGTTGTTGTTCATTCTTTGCTCTTGAAGAGAACCAATGACCTCAGGAGGGTGATGCCTTGACTTGCAAGTGAATTAGATTTAAGTGAGGCAGGGCTGTGCAAAGTCATCAGCCTCACTCTCTCCTCCAGAGTCATGGGAGTCCAGTGGCAAGACATAGGTCATGACGACTGGGGATGTCTCTGGATGTAGTGGGAGACCTTGACCTTTTAAGGTAAAGTCTTTCCCAGGTGTCAGTTTGTCTTCAGACAAATGCCCATTCAATAATGAAAGGTTAGATAAGAACTGAGGCAAAAGATGTTTGCTTTCACAAAAGAATCAATCTGGGAGGGGAAGACCGTCAGAGTTTCTGGCCAGAACAGAAACAATTGCTATTTACATTCACTCTGAACTATCAAAGCCCAAACAATGAACTGGCTTCCCAGTGCCTATTAAATAAAGGACAAATGCCTAAACCAGGCATCCAAGACCCCCTACTTCACTCCATGACCACTTCCTCACCAGCTGTTCTGCCATGGGGACTGGACACAATACCCTAGAGGACTTAAGCCTCTGAAAGTTCTTTTTCTTTTCTTTTGGCCAGGTGATTCCGGGTTAAGTGACTTGCCCAGGGTCCCACAGCTAGTAAGTATCAAATGTCTAAGGCTGGATTTGAACTCAGGTCCTCCTGACTCAAGGGCTGGCGTCAAGTTCTAATTGGTGAGTGTCCCATGGGTGGCCAACTATACTTGGCTGGCTGCTCTAGCCATGCTTCACTTGACTTCCCTGCCTGCCATCTTCTCAATACCACCTGGATCAAAGACAATGATGTATTGGATCAAACCAATACCACCACTGCTCCTAGAAAGGGTGTCCAAATCTACTCCCTTGTGGCTCCACTTACTTTCCCTGTAACTAGGGGTGTGCTGTAGCCTGATTGTTAAATTTTCAGTGAAAGCATTTATAACTTGGACATCAGCAAAGGCTACAAATCGGGCTTGAATTATTGTTTTGTTGAAAGTCTAGACTCAAGAAAGTAAAGGAAAAGGTGAGTAATTTGGATTAGACTTAAAAATTTATTTTGCTCACATTTTTTTCCAGAAAGCCAGTTGTTAAACATTTACCAGTATAACCCCTGCTTATAAGGGGCAGCTGGGTGCTACAGTGGATACAGTACCAAGGCTGGAGTCAGGGAGACCTAAGTTCAAATCTGGCCTCAGACACTTACTAGCTGTGTGACCCTGGGCAAGTCATTTAACTCTGTTTGCCTCAGTTTCCTCATCTGTAAAATGGGCTGGAAAAGGAAATGGCAAACCACTCCAGTATCTCTGCCAAGAAAACCCCAAATGGGGTCATGAAGAGTCAGACCAAGTGAAACCATTACTGTTGTTCTTCGTGCTTGGTTCTTGAAGAGGGCCATTCTGCTCTCTTGGAACTTACATCCTAGGGGAAAAGATAACACATAAGGGGAAATAGTGGCTTGGAAAGGGAGTTTTGGTGTGAAATGAATGAATAAGAACAACAACCCCTGCCTATAACTTTCCAAAATAAAATTCCCCTCCTTACCCCCGGCTCTCCTATAGGTATGGAATCCTCCTGGCAGAATTTAAGCTCTTTGAGGGTAGGGAGTGGTTTGCTTTTCTAGCTATATCTCCGGGGCTTAGCAAGATGCTTAGCACGTAGTAAGCATTAATAAGTGCTTTTTCATTCATTCACTCACTGTCTCATCTCACACAACTCAGCCAAATATACTCCACATTCTAGCCAAACTGGACTGCTCTTCATTCCCCATTCTCAACCTGCCATTAAAGTCTTTCCTTTCATTCTGCCACGCCTGGAATGGATTTCTGGTCACTTCCATCTGTTTAAGTATCTCCCTTTACAGGCCAACTCAGATGCCACTTCTTCTGGGAAGCCTTCCAATCCCAACCCCATCCCCACCCCCACTTGAAAGCAATCTCTGCTTTCTCCAATTCCTCGTAGTACTTTTCCTAGACTTCTCCTTTGAATTTCTCTTTCCCTTACCCTTACATTATAGTTAATTGTGT